CCCGGCCTCTTCCCTCCTTCCCCGAAGTCCCCGGGAGCGGGTGGGAGGCTCTCCGCTAATCCGGAGGACCCAGGCTTCCGAGGCCAGGAGGAAGCTCGGTGGTAGCCGCCTGGGTCGAGTGGGTGGGGAGAAATCTGAGCTCGCAGCATCACCCGGGAGGCCGGCCACTCCCAGGCAGCCGGGAACCCCAGAGGGGCCCGGGCCCAGCGTTGTGAGCTCCCAGCAGACACTTAGCACTGCGGCTCCACGAGTACACCTGGCCTGCAGAGACTCCACTCTAGGAGGCGTCAGAATTAGAGCCCCAGGTAAAGGGCGCCCCTCTTACTAGTGGCCTTGCCCGTGAGCCTATCTCCGCCCCCCCCCACCTGTCTCTCTCTGGCTCTCCACACACATTCTGTCACAGGGCTTTAGTATACCTTGTAAGTAGAGAAATCAACCCACAATCTCAGCATTTAGGGAGGCTGAGGCAGGAGGATTGCAAGTTGGAGCCCAGCCTGGGCAACTTTGTGACTTAGGAAGAACTTGTCTCAAAATTAAAAACATTAAAAAAGGGCGGGGACAGTCAGTGTGAAGAGCCTGGCTCAGCACCCAGTATATATGGGGCGGGGGTCTAAGCCAGCCTTTAACTGACCTTCACCCCCTTCCAGGAGTGGAGGAGGCTGTGATTTGTCTTCTCTCTGAGGCTGAACGGAGATGCTGTGTCATCTTTGAAACCCACCACGTCAATAAAGTAACAGTGACTACTGGTTTGCAATGAATCTTTCTGTTTGGGAGGGTTCTGTCTTATAAATGGAAGCTGGTTCTTTAAAATATTTAGCTAATTTAGCTAATTAACTATCTGAAAATGTTTCGTTCTCGATTTTTCTGGAGGTTAACAGTTTGTGAAGCCATTTTTATGGCAGAAGCTGGATGGAACATAAATAGTGCTAAATTAAAGTTGCAGGCATTGAATTGAGTTATCCAATCCAGTTTTCCACCACGGCCTCCTAGGAGGGTGTGCCTTGGTGTGCATGGGACCAAGGGGCTGCCATGGCCTGGTGACCAAATCAGCTGGTCCATAGTCATACCGTCTCCAGGTGGCTTTCTACCCACTGTGCAAAGTAAGATTTTTAAAAATACAATGTGTTTCAATTAAAAATATTTCTAACAGTGAAAGAAACATCTCCAAGAATCCCTCTGGACATCTTTGCCCTCACTTCGAACACACTCGTCCCACCGTCCTCACCACTTCCTGCAGCAGCTCTGGAGTCCTCTTTCCTGAGGGTCTTTAGCTGCTCTGTCCTGGCTGCTTCTGTGTCCTGAATGGATCCAAAAAGTTTCCCTGTCATGGTCGTTGTTCCGGAAGTCAGCCGGTGCCAGATCCGGTGACTAAGGTAGAGAGGACACGGTGTCCTGTCTTTACCAGATGCCTTTCTGCTGCGTGGTGCTCAGCGGCAGCAGTCACCATATCTGTGGTCACACCTGGCAGAGGCACTCAGGAAAGAGGACTCCAGAGCTGCTGCAGGAAGTGGTGAGGGTGGTGTTGGGCCTGGAGCAGGAGGAGTCTGCTGTCTTGTCTGGGGATAGCTGGGCATGACATCCTCTCTGGGGCAGAGAAAGGGCGGCCTCTCAGAGAGCAACTTGACCCCAGAAAGTGTCCACCACTTCCTGGCCACCTCCCCAGCAGTGCCACACGCAGGAAGCCAGGCCTGTGGCAGGAACTGTGGTTCCTCCCCAAACAAGTCTCAGGTGACCCATCTGAGTCAGGTTTCAGGGCCTTGGTCAGTCAGCCGGCACCCCAGGGTCCTGTCGATCCTCCACATTGCACCTCCAGTCCAGGGCAGGCATTGGCTCTATACACCAGCGGCTGTCACTGTACACCAAAGCAACTTGTCACCGGAAACTGGGTCCTGACTCAGCCATGAGCTGCCTCACGCCTCCTTGGTCCTATTTATGCCTTCATGAAAAAATTCAGTAGGGCCATGGATGTAGCTCCGTGGCACCACGCCCGCCTCGCAAGCTCAAGGTCCTGAGTTTCATCCCCAGTACCAAAAAAAGAATTCAGTTGAGACTCTGGGGCCATGCAGAAGTCTCTGCAGAGTCTAGGGGGAAGCAAATAAACAGCAAATTACACCTTCAAGAAAGGAGGCAGGCAATGCCTTGGAGGCATCCCCTGAGGGCCGGTCTGGACATCTTTTCATTTCATTGTATTTATTTTCTTTTTTTGAGACAGGGTCTCACTATGTAGTTCAGGCCAGTTTGAACTCATGGTGATCCTCCTGCCTCAGCCTCCTGAGCGCTGAAACTACAGTGCTGGCCTCCATGCCCAGCCTGAACACTTTTCATGCACACTGGACTTATCCTGGGCTCAGAGTAGTTATGTTTATTAACATTTTACTTAGCTATTTCTTTGGAATTATAAAACGTCTTCCTATCCTTTTTAGACAGTCAGTTTCCTCAGGGGCTTTCATCTTGTAAGAAATGTAAAAAATTCTTTTTTTGTTGCTGTCTTGTCTTTTGAGATAGGGTCTCATGCACTGGCTGGCCTTGAACTGGCAGTGATCCTCCTGCCTCAGTCTCCCCAGTGCTGGGATAGCAGGCCTGCACCACCACACCCAGCTTGATAAATCCTTAATTTAAACCAGGCTTAACCCCAGGGAGAGTGTTGCTTTCTGGGCATCACTGTGCTGTAGGCTACAACAGCTAGGAACTCACTGTGCCATGCTCTGGACTGGGATGGCTGGGTGACCACACTCCTCCTGCAGCCTTAAGATGTCCTGAAGTCTGTGCGCTGCTTCCGGTGTGCTGAGCCTAACAGATGATTCTAAGTAGATCATATGCGCCTCTGTCTCTTCCCATGACTGGTAACGCATGCTATTTTGCACACACACCTAAAGTCTAACTCTCTGCCTAAGAAGGTGATGTCCAGGGTCCCACAGTGGTCATGGGATGGCTGGGCTCCCTTCCTTCCGAGCTCTGTGACCAGTGTTACACACAGGGGTCCCGTGAGGTCCTTCCTGATCCTTGGTGTCCCCAACAAAGAACTGGACAAGACACACAGAAAAGGCAGCAGAAATGTGCATCTCTTGAAAGTGGAAAAGGGGACCAGGGATTTAGCTCAGTGGTTCTGCCACCAGCCTCACAAGTGCGAGGACCTGAGTTTGAGACCCAGTACCAAAAAAAAAAAAAAGTGGAAAAGAAATGTTCTTTACAGAGTGAGAGCAGCAAGTGAAGAGGCACTGAATGCCCACAAGACAAGGGAAAGGTGTCCTTTGTATCTGAAATCCCTAGGTTCTCTCTTTCCTAAAAATAAGGCCTTGGGATAGTTGTCCTATCAAAAAGTTGCTAGCTTCCTGTTACATGTAAATGAGAGATAAGGGAGTGTTTTTTGATTGGCTGTGCTGATATGCAAATGAAGAATTGAAAACAGCCTGCTCTGATTGGTCCTGTGAACAGTCCCAGATTCAAATGCAGGACTGAAAATGGCAAGTTCTGATTGCCCACAATAGCACTTTTTTGACTGGCTTTGTGTGCAGGGTGTGTGTCCTTCCCCATGGGGGTGCCTCATCCCACTGCCCCTTCTCACACCTGCCTGGGCCCTCAGAGTACAAGTGAGTAGACTGTAAGAAGCTCCTGGGATAGGGGTTCTGCTTGATGGTCTAGGGTGGCGAGTCCCCAAGCAGAGGACTCCTCACCAACAGTGGCCACTATGTCCAACACTGGCAGATCTTCCAGCCCAGGAAGCCCAGGGCTTCAGAACATGCTTCAGAATCCTCTCTGAGACCCCTGCACACCCAACTGTGCCATGATGGCAGGTGGGAGGGGAGCAGGGCTGCAGGCTGCTGTGCCTTTGCAATCAAAAGATAAGGTAGATCAGGTAATAAGGGTGCACACGTGCACACCAGATGCTGGGAGGCTGACACAGGAGGATGGCCAGTTCCAGCCCAGCCTGGGCAACTTAGCAACTTAGTGAGACCCTGTCTCAAGATGAAAAGTAAAAAGGGATGGGGATGGAGCTCAGTGTGAAGGCCCTGGGTGCAGTCCCTGGTACCAAAAGAAGAAGAGAGGAAAGGGAGGAGGAGAGGAAGAGGAGGATGAGGAAGAAGTTAAACAGTCGTCAGTCACCCCAAGCTGCCATAGCAAAATGCCAGGGCGGGGTGCCTGATGCAGTACAAATTCACTTCCCACCTCTGGGAGGCGAGGATGGAAGCTGGGGCGAGCGGGGTCCGCGACGGAACCGAGCCGGGCTGGAGCCTCTCAGGGAGCCTTCTCCTCAGCTGCAAGCTGCCACCCGGTCCTGCTGCCCGCGGGTGAGGCCGTCCGGCCCATCCTCCACCTCCAAGCAAAGGATCGAAGGCTGCGGGGATAGTGGGGGGCGTTTGGCGGCCTCCTGTTGGCCCTGAGCCCTGGGAGGCCCCGCCTCTGCCTGCCCACCCCACCCGCTCGCGACCCTGCTGCTAGCGGTCACCCCGAAGTCCTGCAGCAGGACCGCTCGGCCCCAACCCCGAGGGAGCTGGACGCCACAGGGCTGGGCCAGCACGGCCAGGTTTCCGGTGGGCTCGGAGAGGCAGAGCGACAGAGGCAGACACGGGGCACCCGAGCGCGGTGCTTTCTCGGCCCACCTGTGCTCGCTTCAGTGAGGAAACCCCGCGAGCTGCGGAGAGTCTTGACGTACTGTTTTACTGCTGCAGGAGACCCTCGTCCTCTGCAAACACTGCAAATGCGTCAACTAACTTGGCCTCATCGGGCCACCATCCATCTCTGTTTTGAGCGTGCCTCTCTTAGATTATGAGTGTGTAGGCGTTGGACTGGGGTTTTTATGAGGGGATGGGACTGGGGAATGAACCCAGGGCTTTCTCACTGAGCTACATCCCCTGACCTATCTTTTTCTTTCTTTCTCTATTGAGACAGGGTCTCACTAAGTTGCTAAGTTGACCGAG